TTAAATATTTATTATTATTTATTCCTTTTACAGAATCCAATTACACTCGAAGACTTCAAGTATGGGTTAACTTCAACATTTGATTCAAAAAATGGATAAATACCTCCACTTTTGTGAATATGGCAGAAAATAACAAGGTAAGTGAAAGCTTACTCATTTTTGCCACCTTATCAATAGTGAGTATTCCCAGCTGATTTATTTGCTGACTCACATAGTTATGACGCTTAAAACTAGCGAAATAACAAAAAAAAATAATTCAATGGAAAGATTGAAGAATGTAAAGACCAGGATAACACTTAGGTTTTTTTTGTAATAAAAAGAGATGATTCATAATGCTTTATTGTTTATTCTCAAACAAATAAGGTATAACGTAATAATCTTTAAAATTTTTATTACACTAAATTTGAAAACATCGTCTTGGTCTTCCTCAATATTTTCCTTATCATTTTCATTTGCTTTGTTTCTTATATTTCTCAACGTCGTCTTGCTACCAAATAACATCTAATCTGGTGAAATCTTGAACCATCTCGTGTCTGTCATTTCAATTTCAATTTAGCATCTCCTAAGAAGCTACTCATTTGAAGGGGTTACAAAAATAAGACGGCACCAGTACAAGTATAGATCCAAATTTTATTGGGGTTGAATTTGCTTGCTTCAGGGTTAGGATTCTTTATGATTCAGTTGGTATAAGGTTGGATTGCTCTGACGTTGACTTACTTTGTGGTTGGATTAATTGTGTAGTTAATTTGCTTGTTTTGGAATTGGTCACCATGATTTATAAATAATTATTTGGTTATTTCTTTCCATCTCAATTTTAATGTAAATGCAATAAAACTGTGTGTATTTATAGATGGATTTTTTTTATTTTCAGCTCTACCGGTTTCGATCAATACATTTAATCATCTTCAGGAGCAACGTCAGTAAAAATATTTTTAAAAAACATAATAGTTAATTAAGCTGATATTCTCCCGCAATGAAAGTTAAAAATTTTGACATTTTAGGGGTTTTCCTTTTCTCCCTAGTACACAATTAAATCTAGACTAAATCTGATTATGGATTATGCATTTTTGATCCATTACCAACAATTTTTATCAAAAATATTTTCCTCTATCGCTTTTAGTTTTTGAGTTATAACGAACTTTAAATAATAACATAAATCGTCAATTTTGATTTTTTGGGGATTTTCACTTTCTAACTAAAAAATGGTTATAACTAAACTAAATCTGGTTATGAATTATGCCATTTAGCCCCATTAGGAACAATTTATGTCCAAAACATTTTCCTCCACCACCTTTAATTTTTGAGTTATCATCAAATTTAGTAATAAAAATCATAATTTTTGACATTTTAGGGATTTTCGCTTTCTAACTAACAAATGGTTATAATTAAGCTGGCTCTGGTTATGGATTATGCCTTATTGGTTCATTATAACTAAATTATGTATAAAATATTTTGCTCCCTCGTTGTAAATTTACAAGTTATGATGAACATTAACAATGAAAGTTAAAAATTTTGACATTTTAGGGATTTTCATTTTCTCCCTAGTACACAACTAAATCTGATTACGGATTATGTATTCTTGATCCATTACCAACAATTTTTGTTAAAAATATTTTTCTCTACCGCTTTTTGTTTTTGAATTATAATGAGCTTTAATTAATAACAAAAATCGTCAATTTTGACATTTTGAGGATTTTCACTTTCTAACTAAAAAATGGTTACAACTAAACTAAATCTAGTTATGAATTATGCCATTTAGCTCCATTAGGAACAATTTATATCCAAAACATTTTCCTCCACCACCTTTAATTTTTGAGTTATCATCAAATTTAGTAATAAAAATCATAATTTTTGACATTTTGGGGATTTTTGCTTTCTAACTAACAAATGGTTATAATTAAGTTAGCTCTGGTTATGGATTATGTCTTATTGGTTAATTATAACCAAATTATGTATAAAATATTTTTCTCCCTCGTTATTAATTTATGAGTTATGATGGGCATTAACAATGAACGTTAAAAATTTTGACATTTTGGGGATTTTTGCTTTCTAACTAACAAATGGTTATAATTAAGTTAGCTCTGGTTATGGATTATGTCTTATTGGTTAATTATAACCAAATTATGTATAAAATATTTTTCTCCCTCGTTATTAATTTATGAGTTATGATGGGCATTAACAATGAACGTTAAAAATTTTGACATTTTGGGGATTTTCATTTTCTCCCTAGAACACAACTAAATCTAGATTAAATTTGATTATGGATTATACATTTTTGATCCATTACCAACAATTTTTATCAAAAATATTTTCCTCTATCGCTTTTAGTTTTTGAGTTATGATCAACTTTAATTAATAACAAAAATCGTCAATTTTGACATTTTGGGGATTTTCACTTTCTAACTAAAAAATGGTTACAACTAAACTAAATCCGGTTATGGATTATGCCATTTAGCCCCATTAGGAACAATTTATGTCCAAAACATTTTCCTCCACCACCTTTAATTTTTGAGTTATCATCAAATTTAGTAATAAAAATCATAATTTTTGACACTTTGGGGATTTTCATTTTCTAACTAACAAATGGTTATAATTAAGCTAACTCTGGTTATGGATTATGCCCTATTGATTCATTATAACCAAATTATGAATAAAATATTTTTCTCCCTCGTTATTAATTTATAAGTTATGATGGACATTAGCAATGAAAGTTAAAAATTTTGACATTTTAGGGATTTTTATTTTCTCCCTAGTACACAGGTAAATTTAGACTAAATCTGATTATGGATTATACATTTGTGATCCATTACCAACAATTTTTGTTAAAAATATTTTTCTCCATCGCTTTTAGTTTTTGAGTTATGATGAACTTTAATTAATAACAAAAATCGTCAATTTTGACATTTTGGGGATTTTCACTTTCTAACTAAAAAGTGGTTATAACTAAACTAAATCCGGTTATGGATTATGCCATTTAGCCCCATTAGGAACAATTTATGTCCAAAACATTTTCCTCCATCACCTTTAATTTTTAAGTTATCGACTTTAATAATAAAAATCATAATTTTTGACATTTTGGGAATTTTCATTTTTTCCCTAAAACACAACCAAATCTGATTATAAATTATGCATTTTTGATACATTAGCNGAACAATTTATGTCCAAAACATTTTCCTCCATCACCTTTAATTTTTAAGTTATCGACTTTAATAATAAAAATCATAATTTTTGACATTTTGGGAATTTTCATTTTTTCCCTAAAACACAACCAAATCTGATTATAAATTATGCATTTTTGATACATTAGCAACAATTTTTATGAAAAACATTTGGCCACCCTGTATATCGGTAAGTGTCTCAAAGCTGTCAATTAGTTTTGACTTGAAAATAGCTTGATTGACAATGATTTTTCCATCTTTTCATCAAATCTTCAAACTCTTAGTCAATTTCATCTTGATCGACGAATTATCCATAATTAACCACATATTTCATTTTAAAGTCTATTATATGGAGATATGAAATAAGCGCCATCTCTTGTTGACAAATGACATTATAGATGTGTCAAATTTTGAAGTTGTCAAATAATTTATTATTCTTTAAAAAGTTATCATATCTCGTTTTAAATGAACTCTGTGTGTATAAAGAAAGAAGATTATTAAAACTTTTGTTGGAAAAATTCCAAAAACCACTCTCAACAGGTAGTAAGATGACTCAACAACCTTTTTTTTATCTCCTTTCATTTTTCTTGGAGCAGGTTAAAGACCTTTTTGTATCTCCACAAACTTAAGAAACTCTTTTCACAAAAATGTTTAACCGTTTCAAAACACCACATTATTTTTCAAACATCGAACACGCGCGAATTTGCGTAAAAATACCGAAATGAACGTTGCACTCGCTTTGCTAACCGTCCAAGAAAAAAGGGGAACTATTTCCAACCAACTTTGACCTATTTTTAGTATCAAGTTTAAGTTTCAATTTCATTAAGCGTCACACTTTCTTTACAAAACGATGTACATTTCGTCAAAGTTGATGCAATTAAAAGAAATTTTACAAAAACATTGACTAATCATTCGAGATTAACCGGAAATGGAAACCGACGAGTCATTTTGTTTATAAAACATCAAAAACGATTAGTTCTAGTTAAAAGATAAAAGTAGTGCGAACTTTAAATTCGTTTTTAACGAGGAATTTTGAATGAAACTCAAGATAACCTTCACTTTACGGTTTAAGGCCCACTTTTACCACCTCTTGATAAATTTATCCGATAGATAAATCCAGCTCTCAGCCAATGAGAGTGCTTAAAACCGCCGTAACCATGGCAACTATCCTCTAGATAGTTTATCAGGAGGATGGTAAAAGTGGGCATAAATCTTTCAAATAATTCAGATAAAATCTCTTTTTGACCCAACCCACTCTTATCGTTAAAAAAAAATGATAAAAAAAATATGGACTATTAAAAATCTTTCGATTTAAAGGTTAAATCAGCTTTAATTTCGTTCTCTTTCAATTTTTATCTGGGTTTTAATATAAACTTTTCATAAATCATAAATTAAAGGCGATTAATTTTTTTATACATCATCACGCCATGAAAATGATCCCCATTATGCAATAACTTGATTTAAATAAATAAATTCTTGCTCAACCAGTTTTAATTTACCTTTTTCCTTGAAGAGGTTAAAAGATAATTAATTCGAAAACACCATGGTGGTGGTTTATGCGGGTTTTTAACTAAATATTAGCACTTCAAACAGGTTCTACAATAATAATTACTTTATTTTTTTACTCAATAATAATGAAATAACTTGTTGCTTTTATAAATGGAAGAGTTAAACTTAGAACTAACTCTAAAAATAACATAAGTACTACTTTGTAAAAGTAAACTTATGGTAAGACTACTTACCTCAAGTCGAAAAACGGGAAATCACTCGGTGCAAAACGCTTTACGTGACGAGAAAATTGAAATTAATGATTAAAAAATTAAGTCAAAGGGTTTATGTCACGTAAAACTGGTTAAAGTAGTCATTTAATCTTAAAAAGGAATTAGTGACGATGCGATTTTCTAATCGGAAACTTCTCTTTTAACTAAACCGATGCGAATAAGTTCTCATTTCGCACGTGTTCACTTCAAAACGTCTCCAAACCGACTACACGAACTAAAAAACACATTTAATTTGACATGAAAAAGTGGGGTTAAGTGCGTTAATGTCAGTGACATCGTTACTGGCGACATCTATCGGCGAAAAAATAAATTATCATTTTACGAAAATTAGGTACCTTTTTACCAATAATAATAAAATCACTAGATTTGGTGAATATTATTGTTAACAACAAATTTAATTTGATTTTTTCGATGTAATAATTAATTTAATATTATCTTTTAAGGGAATCTCAACTTAAAGAGGAATTCGGAACAATTATGGTAAAAAAGGTGAGTTGTTTTGATAGAAATTATTATTTGTGATTTTTTTAGGTTACTTTTCTATAATTATTAAAATAAATAAATAAATAATCGTGAAGGAAGATTATGTTAAGTGTTAATAACTGATTTTGGAAGAAATGCATAAAGATTTAAATGATGTAGGAATAAGGAAGACGTTCTTCGATTTAAAGTCCAACATTGAGGAATGGGAATGCGTAGAATGTTGAGGAGGCCAAAACCCACCAAGGATTATAGAGCCAAAAGAAAACGAAGAACATCCAAGTGGATTTTAATTCATAATAACAGTAAGTAGATTATTGAGGCTCTAATTTAAGATATAAATCATTTTTTAACCTCACAAAATAAGATCTAAAGAAGCGTTTTTAAATTTTGACGGTTTCTGACATAACCTAAATTAACAAGAATTCAAATAATATTATTTTTACATCTAAAATAAAATGTTTTTCTTTTTAAATTTTTAAACAGTATTTGTATAAAAATAAAGTGAAATCTAATATTTATTAATTTTAAATTATAAACTTTTTAATTGTTAGCGCCATCTATGAAGGAATTTTCAAAGTTATTTGTTTTAGGCAACCCAAATTACATCTTTTATTTGAAATCTATTACACCTTTACAACCAAATGCAGACAAATTGTTGCATAAAGAATTACATGGTCATAATTGTACGAATTGATGTAGCAATAAGGGAGACGTTCTTTGATTTAGTCCAACGTTGAGGAATGGGAATGGTGGAGAATTGTTGAGGAGGCCAAAACCCACCAAAGATTGTAGAGTCATAAAATCCAAGAGGATTTTAATTCACAATAAAAGTAAGTAAACGAAATTAGATTTTCTTGGCTCTAATTTAAGATATGAATCATTTTTTAACCTCTCAAAATAAAATCTAGAGAAGCGTTTTAAATTTTGACAGTTTCTGACATAACCTCAATTAACAAGAATTCAAATAATGTTACTTTTACATCTAAAATAAAACGTTTTTCTTTTAATCTAAGGTATAAATAATGTACAGAAGGAAAAATATCTCCAAGATTAAGATTATACTGCGTATATTGGAACTCGGGGCTTTAATAACAATTATTTGGACCACTTCTTATCACAGGTAAATTTTTAAACATTATTTATATAAAAATAAAGTGAAATCTAATATTTATTAATTTTAAATTATTAATTTTTTAATTGTTAGCGCCATCTATGAAAGAATTTTCAAAGTTATTTGTTTTAGGCAACCCAAATTACATCTTTTAAATGTTATTAAAAAATTGTTAAATCAAAAAAAAACAAGCACTTAATCACTTCCTATGTTATATTAAAAGCATTAAATAATTTTCCACCTCGTCTAAATGAGTAATGTCTTTTAATAACTTATTATTACTAACATTGTGATTCTTTTGCAACACTTAATTGTTATTTCCTAGAAAAATATGTGTACTTAGACGTTTCTATAAATATGTAGCAACCTTTGTTGACTTCAAAAACATATTTCCATGTAATTTAAACTTAATCTAAATTTAGCTTTAATTGTAATTGTTTTTGATATTAAAATTAACCCCTTTTTCTTAATTATTTCAGGACTTCTACGTTTCAAATGGAATTTCGTCGATTCCTTTGAGCGGTAAGTCAATTTATTAGTTATTCTTTTTAATTCCTTTTAGTAAGAGTATTTTTAATAAAATTGACATAAAAAAGTGAGGTTTTACTACTTTATTAGTAGACATCTATAGAAGAGATGTTTTTATGAAAATTAATTACTTCTTGACTTTAATTATTTATTATTTTAAAGAATTAAACTAAAAATAGCTGCATAAAATAATTAATAAAAAAATTAGACAAATTTTTTGCAACATTATCTAAAAAGGAAATCTATTTTACCAACTGTCGGTAAAGTAGATTTCTTTTATATTTAGATATTAATTTATTGAATATTTCTTTTTATTAATAAAAGAAATTGTTTTTTTTTTACTAAAAAATGAATAATTTTGTTATTTTTGCAATAAATTATTTTATCAATTAAATAATTGGATTAAATTTCCTGTATTAAGTCGATAAAGTAGATTTGATTTTATTGTGTCATCTGTCAAAACAAATTTAGAAGCAAATTTC